GTGTGTGTGTCTATACAGTGTGTCCAGTAAGAGTCTGTACAGGAGTGTGTGTGTGTCTATACAGTGTGTCCAATAAGAGTCTGAACAGGTGTGTGTGTCCAATAAGTCTGCACAATGACAATAAACACACTTCTCCAGTATGACACTGTATTAGACACAAACACGATGACAATAGTCTCATTTCATCACTTTTTTTTTAGTGAGACCACAAGTCCAGTGAGAAGACTCTTTACAATCAGCCATCGATCTGATTGATAATAAAAAAAAACCCACAAGAAATGAACAGATTTAACAACAGCAGGTCTTGTAAAGGCTTCAAGAGCAAAGCCCCACGCAGTCTGCTGCTTCTGTTAGTGTTGAGCTGGTGTCTCGACACGCCCTGAGTGCCAGGGAGGGCCAGGGACCGGGTTTTACAGCAGCACTGCTGTTCTGAACGGCCTTTATTTCTGGGAGGAGAGCCGGATCTGATCACGGGGGCCCCAGATATCCGACAGGGGCCCAGGCTGCAGCTCGGCAGGAGATCGCTCTGCCGGACCCAGAAGCCCGAGGGCTCGGGATCGACCAGGAGGAAGTTGTGGCGCCATGTAACGCGATGGACCGTGTACTCTGGAGAGCAGCACATACAAACTCCTCGCACAAGGAGCCTCGGTCCAGAAAACTCACCCAGCTGCCCGCGTGCCGGCTCCCCCAAGCCCGTCCTGCTTTTGGGGGGTGGGGTGGGGGGATTTAATGAGAGGATTTTCTGAAACGTCTGGTGAAAGTCCCCGAATTCACGTCTGATCTGCTGATGTTCGCATGGCTTGCCGGTATTGTGCTACTGGAAAAGTCCCAGCATGCCCAGAGAGTGAGAGTGTTTAGTGGTCAGTGTGCTGCCCGATCTCTTGAGCGCATCATACAGTACGAGTTATATACAGAGGGGACGAGGCTCACTATGATGCTGTAGGCTGCACTGCGCACTGTTAGACACTGGGTCTACTTTTCCCTTTCTCTGGTTTTTCTTCCCACTTTTTTTAGGTTTTAAGGCTTTGGAGACCCGTCTCACAGCCTGCTTATTGGTGGGACAGTTGCGCAGCAGTCCCACTGTCTCATGGAACAGACAGTCCACAGCCACAGTGTCTCTCCTGGTCACCAGTCTGCTGCTCTCAGCCACAACTGCCTCGGGGTCGTAGGTGTGGTGCATCACCACCAGGGCGGCGGGCTTGTCCCCTGTGGAGAGAGACAGAGACAGGGTCCTGATGGAGCACCTGCAGGGTCTGAGTGAGCAGTACAGCAGTACTGAAGCACAGACAGTCATCAGTCAGAATGGAGGTTTAATAGGTGAGACTGTCACCTCCCCTGACCCCTGATCAGCCGAATTTCTCAGGACCCAAATACATCGGGCAACATGATTTAGACAGCTGCTGACAAGATATTACTGCACATACATACAGTTGCAAGAAAAAGTCTGTGAACCCTTTGGAATTACCTGGATTTCTGCATTAATGACCCATAAAAACAACCAAGTCAAAAACAACTATTAACTTAGTCACAATTTGCTTAAACTAATAAGACACAAACACTTGTACTTCTTCCTGTCGGTACTGAACACACATCGTCTAAACATCCACAGTCCAGGCTGGGAAAGGGATGTGACCCTCTTGGCTAAGGACTTCTCCCAGAGCTAACTGGAGTCGGGTGTTCCCATCAATTCCAAAGGGCTCACAAGCTTCTACCTGGAGGGGAGACTCCTGGGAGGACAGCTGAGGCTGCTGCTGGAGGAGGTGTGAGTGGGGCCAGCAGGGGGCGCTCTCACCCAGCTCACAGCACACTGGAGCCCAGCAGGGGGAGCCTGGCCAGTACCTGGAGGGGAGACTCCTGGGAGGAGAGCTGAGGCTGCTGCTGGGAGAGGTGTGAGTGGGGCCAGCAGGGGGCGCTCTCACCCTGTGGTCTGTGTGGGTCCTGATGCCCCAGTATAGTGACGGGGGACACTGGACTGTAAACAGGCGCCGTCCTTCGGATGAGACGTCAAACCGAGGTCCCGACTCTCTGTGGTCTTTAACAATCCCGGGGTGTCTCTCGAGAAGAGTAGGGGTGTTACCCCAGCGTCCTGGTCAGATACCCCCCCTGGTCTTGACCCATCATGGCCTCCTGATCACCCCCCTCTCTGAACTGGCCTCATCCCTCTGCTCTCCTCCCCACTGAGAGCTGCTGTGTGTGAGAGGACTGGAGCATCATGCAGGTGGGGTACACACTGGTGGGGGTGGAGGGGATCCCCCTGACCTGTACAGCGCTTTGAGTGGAGTGTCCAGAAAAGCGCTATATAAGTGTAAGACATTATTCATTAACTTTTTCTTGTAATTGTGTCAGAGCTGTGTCAGAGTTGTGTCGGAGTTGGGGTTCAAGTTGAGGTGGGGTTAGTGTGAGGTTTGGTTGATGTCTTTGTAACCCCTCACCTGGAATGTTCTGGAGGGCGGCGTCGATGTCAGTCCCTATCCGAGAGCTGACCGGACAGAAGACTACGAGCGCGTGACATTTTTCTGGACGGCACTCTTGAAAACGAATCTGCCTTTTCAGCTTCTTCTTGAACCTCTGCTCGGCATTATGGGTAACCCCAGCCACCAGGAAGTGGACTTTGACTGGACAGATATAAAACAGAGATATGCAAGTGGGCGACATGTCACACGTTTGACAATTTAAAGCTTGAATAAGGCATTTTTAATTATTCTAATTAACGGGAAAATATGTCTGTTGTATACTGTACATCCCACCCACCACATGACATATAGTGATGGAAACACAAGGATCATCTATAATGGGATTAATGTACAAACAGCAGGCTTCCTGTAGCCTGTTACTGCCCAGACAGGAGCTCCATGCAGAGGCAGGGACACACACTGCACACAAGGCAGGCAGAACTACACACCTGACAACACAGCGGCCAGCCTTGTCAGGGAGCGTCTGTGAAGTGACAGACTGACACAGTGGCACCTGACTACACAGCGCCCAGCCTTGTCAGGGAGCGTCTGTGAAGTGACAGAATGACACAGTGGCACCTGACTACACAGCATCTGTAAAGTGCTGCGCCTCTAGGAACAGTGTGATGAGCAGGGACTAGAATTTTTGCAAGAAAGTGTAAGTTGGATATTTTTTTTCAGGCAAATCTGTACAAATGCACGTTTGTAAACAGAGCAGTGAAACAGACAGAAAAAGAGTAACTTACGGGCTGATTTTTTCTTCAAACAGCTGAACATTGATGCAGACTCTGGAACAGCAGGGAAGGAGGAAAATGAGGGATGTGAACCAGGGTGATGATTTAATCTTCCTGAAGACCACAGTGCCCTGTCCACTGTGTCTCCCATTGCGCTCCTGTGTCCACGTGCCCACTGTCTCCTGTCCCTCTTCTGTGTCCATGTGTCCCCTGTCACTCCCCGGTGTCCACGTGTCCCCTGTGTCTCCTGTCCCTATTCTGTGTCCACTGTGTCTCCTGTCGTTCCCCTGTGTCCACGTATCCCGTGTGTCTCCTGTCCCTCTTCTGTGTCCACTGTGTCTCCTGTCACTCCCCTGTGTCTCCTGTCCCTATTCTGTGTCCACTGTGTCTCCTGTCGTTCCCCTGTGTCCACATATCCCGTGTGTCTCCTGTCCCTCTTCTGTGTCCACTGTGTCTCCTGTCACTCCCCTGTCCCTCTACTGTGTCCACTGTGTCTCCTGTCACTCCCCTGTATCGCCTGTCCCTCCCCTGTGTCCACGTGCCCACTGTCTCCTGTCTCTCCCCCTGGGTCCATGTGTCCACTGTGCCTCCTGTCCCTCCTCAGTCTCCACCTCCCGGCTGTGCTGCTTGTGTTTCTGGAAACCGACTGGCTCTCGGACCGGGACGACAGCGACTCTCACGGGGCGCCTGAGCGAGATTCGTCCTCGGAGCCGCGATCGCCCCCCTCTGTCGCCGTCCGACGGAGTCCCGAACCCCGAACCCCGAACCCCGACAGCCCGACGAGCTCGGCGCCGCCGCAGTCCTCGGAGACGAAGGAGCTCCACCGGGACTCGGATTCAGCGTCATCAGAAACAACAACAACACCACCACCACAAAATAACAAACAAACCAACCAACACGCGCTCGGCCGTCACAAACCACGTCTCTGAACTCGTCCCGACTCTGAAAAGGGCGCCTCCGCCTCCCCACCACCACCACCACCGGACTGGGAGCCAGTTTCACTTTCACCAGGCCCAGCTTTCGGGATGAGTGGAAGCGGACTCGTGCCTCAGCACCTGCGAACGACCCCCCAAATTCCACCGTTCGACTGCACACACACACCCCAAAATAAAACCACCCGTCTCCTGACAGCGCCGGGAGCCGGGAGCCGGGAGCGAGGAGCTGGGGGGTTTCACACCGGTGGAAAACCGCAACCAGAGGCGCAGTTCCTTGTGGAGGAGAAACCGGGAGCGCCGGTCCGCTCGGGCTGGCTTTCCTCTTGGGCCGGGCTGTGTCGGAACCAGTCGGTCTCGGAACCGCACACACTCAGAGAGAGAGAGGGAGAGAGGGGCGGAGGGGGGGGTGCCCGTACCTGAGCCTGGTCCGGCCGCGACACGTCCAGTCTGGTGAAGTCCCGGGCGCTGCAGTGACGGGCACCTCACGCCGCGCTCCGCAGCGCCACCTGGCGGTCGCTCTGGGGTACGACAGGGCGTCCGGACCAGACTCAGGTACGGGCACCCCTCCGCCCCTCTCCCCCACCCTCCTCTCTCAAGTTCAATTCAAGGTGCTTTATCAGCATGACCGATGGGTACAATCAGTGTTGCCAAAGCAAATGAAAGTAATTATATTTACATTAAACAAAACAAAAAATAGAAGTAAAATAAAATCTACAGACGTGTTACAGACATTTACAACAAAGACATATTATATAATATTGACATATACTGTAGGCGGCTGGAGCATTATTGGGAGACTCACTCTCTCTCTCTCTCTCTCTCTCTCTGTGTGTGTGTGCGGTTCCGAGGCCGACTGGTTCCGACACAGTGATAAAAAAGTTCTCCGCACAACTTGAACTTGAACTTTCCTGCCATATGTAACCGGTACGTGTGCTGGTACGATGGAATTCTTACTTACAGAGAGTCTCCCGATTGTTAAAACAAGAGTAAAAACACAGAGCGCAGACAGCGCATCAAGACAACAGACAAACAAACAGCAGACAAGGTACAAGTAAACAAGTAAACAGCTTGAACGTAAACAATGACTGGAGATGTGATCATCATGAGGGAGAGGGTGCAGGTGTGTTCGCCAATCGCCCTGCTTGTGGGTAGAAGGTGGGATACAGATTTTTAAAATATCTTTATTTCTTTATTTTTATATACAAAAAAAAAACAGGGAAGATAGAACAGACTAGGGAGTCCAGGGACAGATGTCACGACACAGGAAAAACAAAACAAAACGACCGTCTCAGTCGTTCAGAGGTTAAGCGGGCGTGAGGGGTCACAGTCGATAGGTCTATAGGCCAGATGAGGTCTGTAAACCAGCGAATCTCACTGTCATTCAGCCGAGAACATGCAGAGCGGGACCGGGACCCGGAAGCAGCTGCGCCTGAGCAGACACCCCGCCGAGCCGAGCCGAGCCGGGCGAAACCGAAAGCGAGACCCGGCTCGGCCGGCAGGCGGCGCTGTGGAGCTGCTCCGGTACCGAGTCCACCCCCCGCAGTCTGGCGCTGGAGTTTCATTTCACCGGAGTCCGGCTGACAGCAGGTACGTGTCCTGTCCCTCTCTGTCTCTCTCTCCTGTCCCTCCAGGGACTGTGACCGGGAGAGACACGCGGGGGTCGTCCGTCTTGTTGCTTCTGCTTGAAGTTTTACTTTCGTTTGGAGTCGCGGAAATTCTTCACTTCTTCCTG